ATTCTTTGTATTACTATTACTGTTTACTGCCAAAGGCACAATTTAAGCTGCAGCAGGCTTTCTATTGACTTTGTCATTAAACAATAGTAGACGTATTTCCCACTAAGGCATGCTTGCTCTCCTTGCTAGTCCTTGAGCTTATAGTGTGAAGGTGGATTTTTGCTTTAGAGGTCAGATGCAAACCCTGTGGTCCTCTACAAGGACTCAGTCCTGGTGGGGAATTCTCTACCCAAAGCTAAGGCATCTTTCTTTTGTAACTTCTCTTTTCAAGGAAAATGCAAAAAACGAGGAGATGGTTTGAAACTGGAGAATGACCCTCAGGAGGTGAGTCACTGTTAGATGCAAATGCCTCCCTGTTTCTATTGTTAAGTGATTGACAGTAGACAGTGGGTATACAGGTTCTGAGTATATCATCTCTCCATTCATGGTGATCAAACTGGAACCTTCAGACCAGGCTGCCGGGGACCATTTTTGCTGCCAGTGCCTTGCTCCTCATCACTGTTATTTCTCTGCTGCAACTCTCCTGCCACTTTCCACTCTCTTTTGGGGATGAAACATTTGTTGTTTGCTCTGACTTTGTGTCTGTTAAGCCAAGAATAGGGAACCGAAGAGAGACTGTTGTGTTTCTTCTTCAGGAACAAATGGTTTATGGTCTCCTCATTAAGAACTGTGTTGCTCATAGTCATGTAATGGTACCTCTGTCTGCAGAACCTCGCAAATGAGCAGCACTCCATAATGTATTCTCTCACAGTTCTGTTGACATCAGTGAACCAGTTTCTGCCAAACCAAAAGCCACTTTGGCTAGTGGACAGAGGAATTGATTCTTGTCCAGTTCAATGATTGATGTTCCCTACCAGCTGATGTGTAGAGAGGACTTTTGAATGCCAGTCTTCTCTGATCTCCTCTGTTAGTCAAGAATGAAGCTTTAAAGATGTCCATCTCCCATGGAAAAAAGGAGGCATGAAATGCATAGTGTGGGGCTCCCATGAAGGCACAACACACAGCTGTTGTGGTACTTAAGTGAAAAATACATGTAATGCTTGTGAAGGGAAACTTCCTATTGGAGTCTAGCCCTTCAGTAGGTATTGGAGTGCAGTGGGTACCAGCAGATCCCTAGTAGGCTAAGGAGCCCTCTGCAAAGTACTGACATCTGCAAACATTCAAATTCAGTAATGATCAAAACCAAGTTTGCTTCCAGAAAAATACCATTTTCATTACCTAGGGGAGAATCACCATAAGCTATCTCTTGGGTTTATAGAACAGTAGCTGAAGCACAGTGAACGTTTAGATTTACAAAGAAACAAAGAGGGAGTTGGTTTCTATAGACTTGTTTTGCTTATTGTATTCTGGAGCTGTATATGGAATCAGATTGTCAGGAGAGGATCTGGAGGCGGGGGAAACATTGAGATTGCGAATACTAACATTATCTCTACTGCTTTAATCAAGCACTTGGGTTTACTGAACGCCCTGGTTGCTTTCAAATCCTGCTTGCTCAGGGAGGGTAAGCAGTGAACTATGAAGTACCTTGCTTAAATGATGGGCTTTTTTTTGTGGAAACTCTCTCATTGGAAATGTTGTCTGTCACCCAGTGCCAATTGTTTCTTTTACAAGCCTGAAATTATAAACACTGAAGTATTGCTTGCTTGTGTGTCTTTCCATCCTCAGGCAGAGTCAGAGATGGCTCTGGATGCAGAATTTTTGGATGTGTATAAAAACTGCAATGGAGTAGTGATGATGTTTGACATCACCAAACAGTGGTAAGAAAAGAGTGCATGCATGCATGCACACTGCAATTTTAATTTATTTAACCAAAACAAGTGACTTCTAGACCTGCGGTTTGTGTACTGATGCCCTTAAACTGATGCTCAATCCATTGAGCTGGAAAAAGCTCATGGCCATTAAAATTGCTTTGTTTGCTGGCCTGTTTTTTTAATTTACTCCTTTTTCAAACACAGTTTCTGTTGTGCTGCTGGGGGCTGGGGTGGTGTGCATGCTAAGGTATATGGTTGGCAGCCCAGAGGGCGCAAGATTGAGGCCATAGCAGAAGCACTCATAGCATGGCCTGCCAGATTCCAATGACTCTGTGAGTTCTGCTAAATAGCTTGTCACAAGGACACGAAAAAGGAAAGGACTACACCACTATCTGAAGGAAATGCAGAAACGGCATAGTTCCAGCTTCAAAGAGTGTGATAGAGAATGGGAGACCATGAATAATGAGGAATGGGAAAGAGGGTTCAAAGGGAATGTTGAAACATCTAGGAACGTGGATATTTCCAAGTGCATAGATTTACATGTAGAAATGTTGGGCTCTTCTGTTTCCCATCTAGTGGGGAGGATGGGAGGAATATGGAAGTCATGGTTGGGAAAATGAAGGGAAAATCAGCAGTGTAAAGGTGTGCTGGAACCTAGGAAAAAGGAAACAGAGTTGTCCTGATGGGACAGGATCACTGACTGGCCCACGCCAATGTTGCTGCCCCCTTCAGTTAATTGAAGGTGTGGAGAGGAAATTGCTATCTCTTTAGCTTAAAAGATGATATGGAGCCATAAGAGGAAAAATCACTATCGCATTGCTTGGTCTCTCATGGCTCCAGTATCCTCCTTTCTGTAGGCCTTAACTCAGAAGCAGTTTTATTTGACATGCTCTTTAATTTTATTTCAAGCCACTGGCAGACTGCTGCACTCCAGAACATCTAGACAAATGAAGGACAGAAACTAAGACTCTTGTTCATTGCTATACCAAATCAGGCTATCCAGACACTTAGGTATAGAATAGATCGTGCAGTGTATCTGCAGTACATCAGTACAGCCTGTACCAGCCTAGTTCTGCAAAGCAGGGACCTTTAAATGCAGTCCTATTAGGGAAAGCCAGGGTTGGCCCTTGGTTAAACCAGTGAAGCTGAAATGGATTAAATGGAGCATATAGCTTATGGAATTCACTTCCACAGGGAATGAACAAAGTAAATAGCTTAGGAAACTTGCTGATCACTTATGTACAGATTGTATTTGCACTAATTTTGATCTTGACAACAAAAACGATTGATATGTAATGCAGATCATCAGCAGGGATAGGGGAAAAAAGTCTTGTCTTGCTTCCTCAAGAAACTTTCTATGGGTTCTTGCTTGAAAGTAGAGTATGGTTGGTTTGTTTTGGAATGATGCTTTCTATGACAAGTGATACTGCCTACATAATTTTCTGAATCTGGGCTTTTAGATTTTCTTCCTTGCCTTGTGTCTTTTATGGCTTGTGCATGACTGTGAATAGAGTAATATTCCTGATAGGTACAATTCACCTCCAGGTGTGCCCATACTCTTTTCTGTTTTGCGTTTTTTTGTAAAGGACATTTAACTACATATTGAGGGAGCTTCCTAAAGTGCCGACTCATGTTCCAGTGTGTGTGCTTGGGAATTACCGAGATATGGGAGAGCATCGGGTTATCCTACCTGATGATGTGCGGGATTTCATTGACAACCTAAACAGGTAAGCAAGGCTGGTGCTGCCATTAATGGGGAGCAGCCTTTACCAATCCTGGTAAAGGTCACTGTAATTTCCTAGACATGCCTGTGCCATTGAACTGCAGCCTTTGGTAGTTGTCCAACCCTGGGGTCAGACATTGTTTTGATATCCCTTTGTTTTGTACTGGGGATTCTGTTTTAAGCAATCATTGGCTCTTCCTTTGCCTTTCTGACCTTAAAAGGGTCAGCTGATGAATGTCTTGGGTAGGCCTTTCAGAATTGCTCTATTTGGATAGGATTAAACTTCACCCCATTTTTAAGGCTATCTTTTTGTTGCTGAAAATTCCCTGCCCTGACTCTTCCACCAGCATCCAGGCTCTAAGAAACCCAGCCTTGTGCTGCTAGTTTCCTCAATCGTACTCTAAAGACAGACCAAGGCTAGTGCAGCATTCCAGCCCCTGGTCCCGGCCAAACTGTTCTTTTTTGATGCCAGTTAGGTAGTCACTTTAACATTTCTTTACACTGAGCTGTGAGACACCACACTCTTTAATTGTAGATATTACCCTGTTGGTCGGGAATTAACTGATCCTTTTTGTATTGCCTTTCTTTCTGGGAATGGCTTTCAAAATAGTTTTTTTAAAGGTTGTCTTGCAAATTTCCTCTTGCTCACGTATGTCAGTATCAGACATAAAGGAATGAAATCTATGAGAGGGAAATGCTTAATATTGGACAGTTTTAAACATGCTATAAATGTTATTGCCTATAATGAACTTGTGTAAATAATTCCAAGTGCTGTGATTTTTTTTTTTAAATAGTTAGCTTAATTTAGGTCCTTTTTTCCATGAGAAATGAGCTTGCACAGCTGTGAAATACCCAGTTCAGGAAGCTGTTGCCCTGGTGTCCCAGCGAAGCGACTCTTAGACTTGTCAGTTGCATGACACTGAAACACAACAACAGCTGCACCAAAGCTTTTCTGCCTGCCTTTGACTGGAATGAAGTGTTAATTTTGGCTTCTTTAGAGCTGTAAACAAAATAATGAGCCCCTGGCAAGATGACCTGTCAGCCTAAATCCTGGTGTTGAAGAGTCTCCTGGGAAATGAGAGTTGCGCATGAGAGAGAATTTGGCAAGTGCTGTGTCTGTGTGCATTGTCAGTCTCTTCTGTATAATTCTCTTCTCTTTACCTATTGGAACAGACCTCCTGGCTCCTCATATTTTCGCTATGCTGAATCTTCTATGAAGAACAGCTTTGGCCTGAAGTACCTGCACAAATTCTTCAATATCCCATTCCTACAGCTGCAGGTAAGTTCCAAGGTAATTCCATGAGGCAGAGAGTCTGCATGGGAGAGATCTAACCCTTGCCACAAGTGAGGGAGCTTGGTTTTTAAGCTGTTAAAAGAACCTGTACAGTCCTTTTGCTTTCCTGATTGACTGTGAACAAAGTGACTGTGTATAGTGCCTCCCCTGATTTAAACAGGTCTTTACTTGTAAAGCAGATGTTCTTAACTACACAGTTGGAATCTTGTTAGCACCGTATATAAGGTTCCCAGGATTATAAATGGGATGTGAGGAAGAAACTGCGTATATTGCAGTACTAATAGGTCAGCACATCCAGAATGTTATATAAACTTTTACACACAGGTATTTATAATGTACAAATTTTAAGTGTTGCCCATTGGTTAGAATACCATTCAGAAAATGCTTGCCAGGGGGCTGAATGGCTGAGGGGAAAACAGGTAAAGAGTTTTTCATATCTCAGTCAGTAGTTCAAATATGGTAGTTATAAATTTTTACACTGTGATGTTGTGTTAGTGATCTGTCTGGTTCCTTGTGGATCTGGTTTGTCTCCAGTTTTCCTTATCACTGACTGCTTTGTGGGCTGCCTCAGTGAAGAGGCAAGAACTGAATGGACCACAGAAAATGAAATGCTATTAACACATTTTGTGGGGTGATATTCTGTGCTTTTTCTAAGGCCTGAGGATTTTAGTCTGCAGATCATTCATTAGATAAATCTTCACACACTTGTGTATTTTCTGAACAACAAATCTAGCTAACATGCTAGCTCAGGCTAAGTTCAATTAAGCTAATATTAGCTACCAAGTCTGTGGTCCACAAAGCTCGGACATCGGAAAGAAATACTTCAGAATGGAATTTCACTATGTAAGAGACAGTGCAGTTCAGTTAAATAAATAGTAAAGTGTCCAGAGAGAAGCTGCAGAAATGTAACACACTCATCCATCCCAGTCAGTTGCATATTTGCAGCAATGAAGTGCCTTCCTGCAGAATAAGCTGTTCCCAGGTTATGTTGCAGTTGCTTTCTTGCAGGGCTTCCCCTTCAAAGAGATGTGAGTAAGAGACGAGACAGCAGCAAGAGATTTGTGCCAGATGCATTGGATATCTGATCACCATTTACACTGATGTTCTTAATAGTCTCTATACAGAATGATTTTCTCAACTGGTGACATAACCAGAAAGTGCTTATATCGAATATAATAAGTTAACTGAACCGAGACACGAGGTAAAATCACAAAAACAACGGTTCACGTGGAAAGGGAAAGAAAGTGACTTGGTTTTATCACTTTGAGGTTTCTTGAGTTGCTACTGTTCAGAGGAGGCAACATGAATGAGAAGACCTGCATGCAATTTCAGAGTCTGCTCTGTACAGTAGCAAATATGGATTTTGGTGTGTTTGCCTGTAGCAATAACCATATCAGTTATTAGACCATGAAATTTGTGTATGAAAGGATGCTGTACAGAGTTAACTTGTTTTAAGTGACTCTAAAATGACTTCTCAGGTGACCCCTTGGGTTCCTATAGATGCATTCAAACAGGGCTAGAGGCAGGCATTTGACTGGTATGCATGCATCATACTTGCTTAAAAATGCCAACTGTTTGCATTCCTCTGATTACCTCAACCTTGAAAGTGGATTTATTTGATTTACTCTTTTTCTGTCATTCAAAGGAGAATGTGGCTGGATTGCAGTTGTCTCCTGGGCCTTTGTTTTGGATAAGCAATGCCTAAAAAAATAAGAGCTTTCCAAACAGAATGACTGAAAATGTATTTCTGCTCCAATCCCTGTGATCATATCTGGCTTTCAGGCTAGTATTTTCCCGTGGATTTTCAAGGAAGTGACACTCAAATATCTTTGTCTTTGCATCTGACCATGTTCTTTGATTTTATTCAGTCTTGAAGGCAGTTCTTAGTACCCCATTAAGATCTAGATGCAGAAGCCCTCAAGTAGGCGTGCATTGCTTTCCTGAGTGCATTCCTCCCCGTCTCCGAGTTTAGGAAGCCCACAATGAATGTTTCTTGTGTTACTTTATTTGTAGTCTGGCCTCTTGTCAAATTTTAGAAACCTTCCAGAATGGAACTCTGAATATATTTATTTTGGATTGTCTTTTCTTTTGAATTCAGTAGAGACAGGAGTGGGCTCCCTAAGGCTCATTGAAGAGCAGAAGTACCTCATACTATTAGAATTGGTGGGATTAATGGATGCTAGATCTAGTTTCTAATAATAGTGTTCTTGTTTTGGGGGGTATTAATAATCTCCAACATAAAATAGCCACCCAAAGTAAGGTTAAAGTAGAAGGATTCTATGCAGTGTACCATGCAAATCTGGTTTAGTCAGTTAGTTTGCCTGGTGGAATGTCTTGGTATACCTAATTCTAACCTTGCAGAGGTCTTGGGAGGAGGGGAAGATGTTGGTAAACTGTGTTAGCTCTGTATTCTTCATCCAGCATGTGGCATTGTGGCTTGGTTTTAAATTACACTTTCCCATCTTCATCTTACATTCATGCATCTTTCATCAAGGAAGCAGAGAATGAAACTCATACTCTGCATACAAAGCAAGTCCTCTCCAGCGGCAGCAGCTCCTCACTTATTTATACGTTCTCTTTCATGGGGTGGGCTTACTGTTTTCAGAAAGCAGTTCAGTGCCTGGCATACTGGCAGGCCTTTTTATAGCATAAAGCAGGAAGTGTTAATGTGGTAAAACCATTTCCCCGGCTCCCTTCCCCTTAGATGATTCCACTATAAAGAGGCAAAAGGCTACAAAAAGATACTTCAGCCAATTGTCTTTTTCCAGTGGAGCACTGAAGGTGGCATTCAGCTAGAGCCAGAACTGAGTTTGCTTAGTTCTACTGAGTCATTAGTGCTAAAAATAAGTAGTTTTTAAATATTCTGATGATAAGATAGATACAAATCAATGGTTTAAAAAAAAAGAGAATTGTTTATTCATGTTTTTAAATTATATTTCTTTTATTAATAAACCTAATTTAAAACTTTAAATTGACAAGTTTTGTTTGTCTTAAATTTGCTAAAAATCTTTAAATTGAATTTAAAGCTGGTGCTGAGCGTGGGGAAAAGCAGCCCCTCGCCTGCCCCATGTCTGGCGCTCCCTACTGCAGGTGCTCGCAGCCCACGCAGGGCTCTCTGGAGCAGGCACAGGCAGCCCCACACGGGCTGTGAGCGGCTGCAGCGCGGGGTACTGGCCACGGGGCAGGCAAGGGGCCACTTTCCCCCCTGCCCGCACTCAGCTTTTCCTCGGGATCTTTCCCTGCCCAGGGTCCTCCCCTGCCCTCCCTTCCCGCCCCCCCCTCCACTTTACCTGAGATTCTGGCTGGGGCAGCCATGTGCTCCCAGGCCAGAAGCCCCACCTAGGGCTTCTGGGGCCAGGCAGGCCCTGCTGTTGTGGGAGCCCGCCAGGCTTACCCTGGGTCCTACTGCCCTTGGTTCCTGTCATTTTTTTACAGGAAACAAGGGCATCTGAATATTAATTTTCAAAATCTTCTTAGGGGCCCCACAGGCCAGATAAAATGGCCTCGTGGGCTGGATGCGGCCCGCGGGCCGTATTTTGCCCACCCCTGATTTATACACATGCAGTGGGAGTGAGGGAGGGAGAAAATGGTGGTGGTGCACTTTTGAACTAAAACACATCAGAGGTGCTTTAGTTCAGGAGCGCATCACTACCATTTTGTGTGCGCGATGCACATTTCACCACTTACACAATTGCGCACAGCACAGTTCGCCTCATCTCACGTGAGGAGCAGACTTGATTAATCGAGAATGCTCTGAAGTGGCAGATCTCTGGTGTGTCACAGGGGGGAAAAGTATGTGTATAAATGCCTTTGTGTTTCAAGAGACTGTAAGGTCTTGGTGATGAGAACTGTTTTTACAGTTTCTGACACAGGTGGGTCCTGATCCAGGACCACTGCCACTGTGCGTTAGAAGCAGTTTGCATGAGCAAATACTGTGACCACTTCCTGCACCTTTTCATGTGTAGGTGTTGGGAGAGGAAGACATCATTGCCCCGAGGCAGTGAAAATGTCACTAAAATCCTAACAGTACGTCAGCAAGCTGTTGATGTAGTTGGTACATGAGCAGTTGCTCTGTCAGAATCGGGTTCAGCCTGGTTTGTTGTTGAGGGATTGGGAGGGGGCTGTGAGGGAAGGCGAGAAGAATTGTGCCCTGCAATAGGAGGCTGCAAGCTCAAGGTTTTGACGTTGGAGGCTGCAAGTCAGCACATGCAGGAGCCATTGGGTGGTATGCGTTCGGCACCTTAACTAGATGTTTCTTCTTAAACAAAAAAAGCCCAGTAATTAAATAGTTAATGTTTTAATTAAATCATCATCTTTTGGTTTTTACAGCTAACAAATTAAGTCAAGGGGCCCTGTTCGTGCCTCTGAGTAATGGCTCTGGCTGTCTTCAGTGTCAGGAAGACAGCCCAGCATTGATTTATCAGTATTGCCAATCATAGGCATTCAGAACACACACATCAGGTCCTGAAATTGACTTAAAAATCATGAGAGTCTAAACAACCAGCAGTGGGTTCATTTGCTCTCTGGTTTTTTATTTGTTTTATTTGGTTCAGGTCTCAATTTCAAGCTAATTTCTTCAATTGGGTAAGCTAGACACTTTCCCTTTCTGAAAATGGAAGCTGACATTATGTAATCTGCATGAGTTCACAGACTTAGGGCTCTGAATGCAACCTGTTCATATTTATAGGGCTTTCTTCACAGAAATGAAATCTAGAAACAAATAGTTCTTAAAAGCTTGATTTTTGAAGTGCAGTCCATAGAGGGTAGTTTCTCTGGCACATGCCATCACTGCAGTCACAGCATACATAGGGCCCTGCCAGGTAAAGACCAGAGAAAACGATCAGACAGATGCAATGCTGATACAATTTAGAAGTCAGCCTCCTCCAGTTGTCTGCCATTTGTAGACTAATTTACAAGGGCAGTTGGGTTTTGTATTCACTCAACTGGAGGACCAACTTAAGTCCCACTAGACAAGAACGATCTGTGACTCAGTGCACCACTGATTCTTCTCTCCTGGTGCTATTGTGAGACTTAATTGTTGATGCTAGAAACTTAAAAAATCAAAGCAAAGGCATTGTGCTACTGATTTCCATAACTGAGTGATTCTCAAGTGCAGCAGTCTTTCTCTGGAAGCTGTATATTACTGACCTGTAGCCTAGAACAGTGCGGCTTTGTGAACCTACTGTTCTTCTTCATATTTGCTGAGTTTCTGGGTTAACACCCCTTGGTTCCTCCTTGCCTTCCACTGTGCTGTTTTATTTATGTTGAATGCCATGCCATGGGCCTTAGCTGCTGTTTTATTCATTAGTGTGGGTAGAATGGCGATTGCCTATGCTGATACAAGATCTCGCTGTATCCTGTGAGCTCATGGATCTGTTACAGTGACCCTTCCTGCTTAGTCCTGTCTTTATTTTCCTTTCTTCAGAGGGAGACATTGCTACGGCAGCTGGAGACAAATCAGCTAGATATTGATGCAACGCTGGAAGAACTCTCAGTGCAGCAAGAGACAGAGGACCAAAACTACGAACTGTATGTTACTGAGACCTTTCTACCTTGTTTGCTGGAATCCAGGGAGCACCTGTCTGTTGGGAGCCTTGAATTTTACCACAGTCCATGACATTTAGCTTTGCTGGGGAGTCCAGTGGATAACAGTTATTTGCTTAGCTATTTCATTTAGAACTTCATGTAAAATGAGACTTCTCTGAAGCAGAGCCTGCTTGTTGGATTCTAACTGTGGGTCTGGTTCCTTCAGGCACGTGACCTGTGGGGAGGGCAGTGAAGGTATAGCTGAGTAAGATGAAATGGTGAGGTGCTAATGAGGCAGGCAGCACGTGATATGAGGATTAGAGATGAGTACATCATAGTGTCTAATGATGAAAAGGCTTACTTATGGTGCCCTGTATTGTGTTAGTAGGTACACTGGTTCACCCTGTTTTGGCTGTAGCCTTTCAGCATCTTTTGTCATAAATAGTTATTTACCTAAATCTTTTCTAAGATTCTTGTCGTTTTTTGCTCCCTTTAAATGTTTTGTCTAGAAGCTTAAGTGTGGTCTTATCTACCTGCCTGCATCTGCTGCTGTATATGCATACAGTCATAGCTGGTCACTTCGCTGACTGGAGCGAGCTTTTTACTTGTGTCAGCCTTACAAAGCCAGGACAGTGAGTGGGGAGTGCATTTGCACTAGGGCATGATCATCAAATCTGTTGAATAAGTTCTGACTGCAAGCACGTGGCATGCAAGTTTTCAAGCTCCAGAACGCATCAGCAATGCAGGTGTCCTTTTGTTAAAACTGACTTACTTGGAAATCAGTCAGTAGCTATGGAAATCTCCCCACTGTGTGATTTTTTTTTTTTTTTTTAATTGGCTTTTCAGAGTAAATCCGAGGTTCAGATTCCATAGCTTCGAGCAGAATCCTTCCCCTGTTTGTACAGCACTTTGAAATACTTAGTATCATAGAATAATAGAAAATTAGGTTTGGAAGAGTCTTCGGGAGGACATCTAGCCAACCCTTTACTCTAAGCTGGACCATCCCCAACTAGATGATCCCAGCCAAGGCTTTGTCTAACTGGGTCTTAAAAAACCTCCTAGGATGGAGATTCCACAGCTGCTCTGGGTAACCTGTTTCCAGTGTTTTACTACCCTCCTAGTGAGAGAGTTTTTCCTAATATCCATCCTAAACTTCCTTTCCTGTAACTTGAGACCATTGCTCCTTGTTCTGTGATCTGCCACCACTGAGGACAGTCAAGCTCCATCCTCTTTAGAACCCCCCTTCAGGGAGTTGAAGGCTGCTATTAAATCCTTTCTGTCTTCCCTTCTCCAGACTAAATAAGCTCAGCTCCCTCATAAGTCATGTGCCCTAGCCCCCTAACCATTTTAGTGGCCTTCCTCTGGCCTCTTTCCAATTTGTCCACATCCTTTCTGTAGTGGGGGCCCAAAACTGGACACAGTACTCCAATTGTGGCCTCACCAGTCTGAATAGAGGGGAATAATCACTTCCCTCAGTCTGCTGGCAATGCTCCTACCAATGCAGCCTGGTATGCCATTAGCCGCCTTGGTGACAAGGGCATGCTGTTAGCTCATATTCAGCTTATTGTCCACTGTAATCCCCAGGTCTTTTTCTGCAGAGCTGCTGCTTAGTCAGTCGGTCCCAAGCCTGTAGTCATGCATGGGATTGTTCTATCAATGCAGGTGCCTTGACTAAAGGCACCTGCATACCTGTAAAGCATTATTTCCAAAGTATTGCAGTCCTGTTTCTGCAGGACAAATGGTTTAAGGTGAGATTCACTAAGTCACTGCATATATAAACTTTTGTGGGCAGTGTTCAAAGGACACTGTTGCAGTGTCTGAGCTACCAGATCATTTTCTATTGGTTGGGGTGGGGAGTTGGTCTGAATATTCTCAATTCATGATGGACTGGTATCTAACTAAAATGGTCAAGATCCCTGCCATGGCACAGTGTTTTATGACACTGCTGTGCTTCCATGAGTACTTCCACTAACTAGTAGCTAGTGTTGTGGTGACAGGGGGTGAATAACTAGTGTATTACTTATTTGTATTTGTGGCAGGGCGTGAGCGTAGGACCTCATTGTGCTAGGTGCTACACAAGCACGGAACAAAAATTGGTGCCTGCCTCAAAGAGTTTACAATGCACTTTGTGCTCCTCTAGGCTGTTGTGTTTGGAAGTGACGAGAGACTTCAGTAGAAACTGCAGAGAGGCACTTGTATAAACCTCAGTGAATCTAAACAAGTGGTCAGTCAGTGTGTCAGTACTTCATCCATTCTCATTCTTGAATCAGCTGGCAGCTGTTGAAACCACTGAAAAGAAAGGGCCTGCATATCCATATGTAACTCAGCAATACAGCATGACTGAGTAGACCCTTGCACTTGTCCTGTGTTAGGGGTGCTGTGTTGACAGCAGAGGACTGCTGCTTAGTAGCCAAGAAGGGCTCATGCTGCAGGTGCTTGTGCTTTCTACCTGGGTAATTGCACATAGTGGGGAAAGACATGACGACTAACAAGTAGAACTGGTTTGTTTGCATGGAAACAAACTGTGAAAGTATTAGAGAATAACATCTCTTGGTTGGTTTCTGGATTAGCAGGGAAATTGAAACAAACATAGCTGGCCAAATTCTGCTTGTTTTGTGACTGTGGATGCCATAGTCTTAGCTTCTTCAGGTGTATACCTGTGTATTTGAAGCATCAATTAGCCAGAAGCCTTTTCTTTCAGAAAACATTCCTTTTATAACAGGATCTTTAAGATATTTTTACTTGCTCCTAACTTAAGATGCTGAGCTGCGGATTCCAAACCAGAGATGATGATGGCTCTCATATAAATACTTCTACCTTGATAATAAAAATAGAGCAATATTTTAAGGTTTGCTTGGTCTTACTTTGAGTATGGACATATACTTTTGGAGGAGTTTCAGAAGGGAAGCAGTTATGTTCTAATTGTTAGCTGTGGACAAACGTAGTGAAGCTGCTCCAGTTTTAACCCGGGATGAAGCAGTGTTAAAGTTGTGTTTTGCTACATCTGTATTTCCTTATTTTGTCTATACCTAACCATTTAAAAATTACAGGTTCTGCCCTTTGGAAATGGCTCCAGCTGTACATGTTCACTTTCTAGGAGTCCTGCTCCTAATCTCTTGTTGCTTCAGTGGCCTACATGATGGTGGCAGAGGAGAGGAGTCACTTAAATTTATTTCTCTAATGTTTTATCTGAAGCTGCTTATTAATCTGTCAGTGACCTGATGTGAATTGGATTCCCTTTGACTGGTTTCTGATTCAAATATGTATGATACATTTGTATAGCAAAGAACTAAACCAGTTCAGTTGTTTCCTGTTCCAAACCGTGTTATAATAATCAGGTATTTGCAGACACAGCTAACTTGCAACATACATAGTTACTAATTCCCCCTGCATGCAAATGCACGTGTTTGCCAGGCAAAGAGATTTAGCAGTGCTAATTGATGTGGCTTGGCAGGATTTTATTCACGAGGTATCCTTATGGTTCAGGATTATTCTGTTTAGCATATTACCGCTACCAAATTTTAGTTGTTAAAAGTGAACGTCCTGTGATTTGTATTGTGTGGCTGGTTTGTTTATGGTAAGCAGGGCTGGTACAGAGCAGCCTGCTGACCCTTACCAGGTATTAACACCTCATACTGGCATCTTGAATTTAGGAGATGCACAGATTTGGACTATTGAAGTTGCTATAGCTAGCATTGTTGGATGAGATGTCCCCAGATATTTCAATTGACAGTGGTTGCCCTTAAGCTTTCTGTCTCTTGGCTTTTGTTTTGCACCAACTGATTTGACTCCCTCACTCCTTTTAGCTTCTACAGTATAGATAGGGGACATGGGGGTCTCTGGTTTTATGGAGATAATCAGCATGTTGTCAGAGTTCTGTGGGGTGGCAGGGTTTGTTGAACTTTGATTAAGGATCACATCCCAAGGGTCAATTCCCTGTCCCTCCCACCCTTTGCTTGAGTAGCTGATAGAAGCTACTAGATTAGGAAAGCTGAAAAATACCCCCTTCAAAGAGAATGTGGGACCAAACAGGACTAGGTAACTGTTCATACTGATGGATTTGGCATGACTGGGGACAAAACATGACAGTGCTATTGCTCCAGAGTGCAGTTACCAAAGGAACCGCAAGGTGGCAGGCAACACTGACACATCCAGCTTATATAATGTATCCCTGAGACCCCAGCTGGTTGCGACTTAACTGATAGGTGTGCGCAAGACTTGTTCTTCATCTCTCTTCTGTCTATTGCTGCACCTTCTTCACTGCCCGTTTGGTAGCATTGCTGACCTTGTGCTTCTCTGAAATACCAAAAATGGGTTTAACTCCTTTTACTGTCACAAATTCTTCTTGACCTGATGATGATCACTTTTTTTCTGGACCTGTTTATTCTAACTATTATTTAGCTTCTTTGCCTCTCTTTCAATCTATCAGTCACTGTGCTGTTTGAGAATTTTGAATTGTGATTGGTCAGCTGAGTAACATGCCTGCCCCATCATTGGATGTCTGATACACAAGAAGCTTCCAGAAGGTTGTCAAATATTTGTGACGTGGAGGTTCTTTCAAACATGCACATCTCTTTCCAAGAGCAAGTTGCTCATGAAGATGTTTGCCACAGTTGAATAAGATGGGTAGCAAATACCATCTGATCAAATGGAAAGGTTTTCATTAGTTCTAACATTTGAGTACTTTTATGCCATGTGGACCAGCCTTATTGCCCCCAAAAGCCATAATCAACACTTACTTTTAAAGCATGGGGGAAAGTACAGATTGTTTGAAGTAGGACTGCATTGAGCTAGTGGTGATAAATAAAAATATTCTATATAGAGAAGACTCTAAGATTTTTTTTCCTCCCAACACAGGGTTTTGGGAGGTATAGAAAAATGTGATCCATAAGTTACTTCATGACCTTATTATATACCCTTAGACCAGAGGTGGCCAACCCGTGGCATGGACAGGTGGTGTGTGTGGCACATGGTAGATCAAAGAGAGAGTAAGGAACATAGGG